ATATGGACTTGTTGGCAATGAGAAAAATCAGTGCCCTTGCTGGAAATTAACCCCCGGTTCTCCAGCCTTTTTTCAGGGCTAAGGTCACTTAGTTTTTGCCGTGGTAATCAGCCACCAATCATACTTGGCTGAATCAGAATGTAACAAACAGGATACAGCTCAAAAACTTTTACAAGGTTTAAAACTCTTCTGCCAGTTAAGTTTTCTGCGAGAACATTCAGTGGAATTGTGCAAGTAGTCACAGTTAAACATTGCATACATAGCTACAAATTTCAAAATTTGAGCAACAAGTTTGATTCTGTCAAGAGAGTTAGTAATATAAAAAAAGGCAGTTGGCTTCTTTAGGAGACTGACGTTATTTCTGAGACCGCACTTCAGGAACTCCTGAGCTCTAGCCCAAACCAGAAACCGCCTTCCACAGACATTTTCAATCTTGTCTGTGTTATTTTTATTGGCATTGGTGTCTTCGCGACCACTCTCACGTTGAACCGAGACAGCAGGTGTACCAGCGCCAGTTTGGATTCCATCAGCGCGAACTGATTCCCTGAATTCAAGAGGTAGACATTAGTATTAAGTACGTGGATTTTAAATCTCACGCCTCTTCATACGAGTGCTAGGAGACTATATTACTCTTTCTGTCAAGTGGTTTATTTCATATTAATATATAGGGAAGGGAACTAAAATATTCAGTAACGCTGAAAACAAGTGTATAAAACCACCTAAGCTTCAGAAGACAACTAATCCGTACGAGTACAAGGGGATATACCAGTTGACATATGAAGGTTGCCCTCTGAAAAATGTTGAACGAAACAGGAATAATATTCAGAACCAGACACGCATGTGGTTGGATAAGAACAATTCAAAATACGCAACACATCTTGAGAACACGAACTTTGGAGGGGGGGATATTATATTGGATAAGAACATGGAAAAATAACAACATACAGTAAGGCATCAGGAGTGGAGCGTTCATGTTAGTTATATTAGCCCCAGCTAACACGTTTTTAATTCCATTAATCCCTGTTATTCGTGTGTGCCATTAGATTTGTGATTGTGCACCTATGGAAGATGAAGTCGACTCATTTACGTAATTTTCGCGACCCCTGTTTCGGTATTTGAAAATAAAAGTAACGAACTAACTAGATGGCTTACCGAACCCGAGGGTTCATCACCGAATTAACCAAAGCCCTCCACC